TTGTGTAGTGGCTGTCGTTCTGGTTGTGGTAGTCTATCGCTTTTATTTTGCAAGTTGTGGTTTCCATTTTTCTTAACCTTTTTTTCCCTTTTTTTTCTTTCTTTTTTTTTGTATTTTTGTAGAATATATTGGATTATTTTTTTATTGTACGCTGTGCTGTTTCTCTTGTTGCTGTCGCATTATTTCTTATTCATTACAGCGGTAGTCTGAAGTGGAAAGCAGTACCCTGGGTAGGACTGTTTGCTTAGATGCTCAATAGAAGAGTTTTTAAAAGGAAAATATCACCATGTATAGCCTTATTTTTCTGTATTTTGGCACAAAAATCAAAATTGAGATAAAATGAGCGATCTTCCCTATGTGAACAGAATGGGAGGGAGGGAAGGTGTATTCTATATCGAAACTGAAAAGGTTACTAGAGCAGCGAGTGTCCATTGACTTAATATTGCATCGCCGTGAGCGATCCATGTTGATACTTCTTTTCTCGATGCCGTTATTGCCACACTTTTCTGCATCTCAAGCATTACTTATTCGAGCCACATAGCAAAAAGCCGGCGGCAATGGCCTGTGCTATCAAACGTCTCGCAAAGGAACATCAAGCCCTTCAGAACCCTACCAATCGTGTCTGCGAGCTTTATGCGGCCCCACTGGAGGAGAACATTTTTGTATGGCACTTTACCATCCAAGGTCCAACCAATGACGACCTTGGCTACGCGGAAGGTTTATACCACGGGGCTTTAATTTTCCCCCGCACGTATCCATTTGCGCCTCCGGATATCGTATTCTTTACTCCTAGTGGGCGCTTTGAAACGAATGTGAAGATATGCTCCACCATCAGCAGCTACCATCCCGAGCGGTGGCAACCGACGATTGACGTGAGCACCATCCTTATTGCGCTACGTCTGTTTATGGAGCAGGAAGGCGAGATTGGCAACGGTGGCATCAATTCCTCCAATTACACGCGTCGTGATAAGAAAGAGATGGCCAGGAGAAGTAGAAACTACGCATGCAAGGAGTGCGGTCGTAGTATGCAAGAGATTTGGGAAAAGGAAATGCACCCGTATCCAAGGATAAGCGAGGAGAAGGAGACAACGGCCGCGGGAGGATCCCCTCAACCGGCTTCGGATGGCATGCCTGCATCAGACATCGTGGAGAAATCTAAAACTGCGGATGGGATTCCCCAGACATCTGAGCCGGCTGGTTCGAAAACAGACGCCCAACACAACGAAGATCGCGGTGTTTTTAATAGCGGTGACGGTAGTAATGATAGAATTTTAGTGGATGCTGATAAAACATCGAAAGATGCTGAAAAGGGAGTTGAGAGCCTTGCAAATCGCTCTCCCACTTCCAGTGTTTCTTCTGCACAGATTCTTACTGAAATGGGAGCCATCCCCCCCTTGAGTGAACCCTCGAAGGACCGAAAAACGCCAAGTTCCTCAAGGGATCCGGAGGAGGTATGCTCACCGGCAGTCGACCGACTTGAGGATTTGAACGCTGAAGGAAACCGGTCTGAAACGTGCGTGAGTGACTCTCCGACCCTTCCCACTGTCGAAACAAGCGAGGCTCGATCTGCCACTTCCCCAATAAACCCAGATCCAACCTCTCCCGTTCAACATGCGTTGAACTTTGTACCTGATCGTGGCATCTCCCAAGACGTAGCTTTGGTGAAAGATGAACTTACCAGACACGCAACACCGACCCCTGACGACAGCGGGATCGATATGGAGTGGATGAACTATTCTGATAGTCACGGAAGTGAGGATGCTGTTGGGGCTACGGACAATCGTATGATAGGGGATGAGTATGATTCAGAGTGTGATGTGCTACCGGAGGTAGGCAATGTATTGGGTGCATTTGAAACCCCCTTCCGTAATGAGTTCGAGCAAGGCAGGAACGCATCTGGAGAGAATTTGCAAGAGAATAGTCAGCCTGATAAGGCGACCACAAAAACAGAGGAGACTCTTGAGCAGCACCCGATCCTGGAGGTGGAAATCGCATCCGTGTCGGTGAAAATTTCTATCAGTTTCCTGGATTGGCTTATAAAGATTTGTGCAATTGTAGGGGGGGTTTACTGGCTGCACCGCCTGTGTATCTTCCTCTTTCGCTATGGTTTCGGCAACATTAGCGTGTGAAGCGCTCGAGCGGAGGAAAAGGGCGAAAGAATAAAAAAGAGAAGAACATGAATCCACCCGCAGTCTTTCTCGAACCTTGCTTGCTATTTCACTTTTATGGACTTCCAAGTTTTCATTCGCAAAAGTGGGTGATTCCAGACTGATGTTAGACTCAGTCTACTCAACTTCCAGGATTGGAATTAATCACACTAAAAGGGAAGAGGCTGAAATGGCGGATGGTGTGTACATGATGTACGCAAGTTTTTTGGAATAGGAGTGTTCACTTTCTTTATTTTGAAAGGGCAATTCACGTGAATGGTTTCAACCCCACATAGTCGAGAGTTTATTGTATATATTTTATTATTACAGTTGTGTTATTGTCTTATTATAGTCAGTGCGGATTGGTGGAATTGCTTCCGTGGTGTGCTACCTCAGTATTTCACTTTTTTATCAACTCATTCTTTCTAAATATTAAGAGGAAGAGCGTTATGTTTCAATGGCCGCGTCATAAGTGGCATAGAAATGGAGGCCCACCAAACTTTTCTTGACAAACAAATTCACCCTCCTCCTCGTGTGATTCCTTTTTTCTTCCTTAATCTCCTATCTTGGTGTTTAGCAGCTATCGTAATAGAGACGTACAACACAATCGCAATGCCTCCATTGCCACCTAAAAGGCGGAGTAAAACGATCATCGATGGTACTGCGTCTGCCGCAAGCTTAGCTCCCGCTGCAAATACCGGTAGAAGTAGCCGAAATGCAGATGAGGAAAGGGAACTTCACTTCCTGAAAGTCGCCCGCACTCGAGCCTATCCATATGTGCGGGATTGGTTTGAGCGAACTATTGAAGATATGGAAGCCAAGACGCATACGGAGTTTGACGATGCCCTTACCGCGCTCCAATGCATCCAAATACCGGAGAGTTATGAGGCCGTTCGGGATGTTCGTTCGGTTCAGGAAAAGGTGAAAAGCAACCATCTCGCGATGATAGCGCGCGTATCCTCGATGATACGGTGGATACGGGATGCCACGAACATTTGGCTGGAGCAGCGTGCGCAGTTAGTTAATGCGCACGTGGCGGAGCTTAAGGAGATGGAAAAGGCCTTGATCGAGCGCCGTCAGAGAGCAGAGGGGTGGATGCTGCATGGTGAGCGGGAGCGCGTCATGGGCGAAATCACGCGTTTTCAGGAAAAACGACGGAAGCTTGCCGAGTCGAGTGTTTCAAGCAAAGCGAGGGAGATGGAAAGGCGGGAGAGAGGGCTTAACCAACTGAAGAAGGGGTTTGAAAGCTGCCTAGAGGAGGTACGAGACGTGATCGGGTGGTACGCGCTGCAGCCGAAGTGTGGCTCCCAGGCCTCGAATCGGCGTCTGCAACAGCTCCGGGAGATCCTCGGGGAGCCTTTCAAGAAATTCTTGGCAGCTCAAAAGGATCTTGGATATGAAAGCAACACGGAAGTGTCCGGGGATTTCTTCCGATTTCCGGTGAATAAAAAAAATGATTCGCCTGACGATACCGAAGGTGACAATGAAACTCGACAGCTGATTTTAATGGAGCGAAAAATTCAAAGCGAGTTGGAGAAGCACATACGTGAGCGTCCGATATGGTTGAAGGAAGAAAAAAAGCGTTTTCAGGAGGAAGCCAAGGGTGCTCACATCTTTACTGTCCGTGCTTCTACGAGCCAGAAGAAAGGGGAGCATAAAAAAAGGAGCTCTGCGAAGAGCTCTTCCGTTTCGCGTCCGTCGAACTCGACGAGCTCTAGTCGAACCGGCAAGCGGCGGGTTCCTGATCCGCATCCAAAAGAATCCCCCCAAAGCTCCGGTGAAAGCGATGGGAGTGAGGATGACGCCGTCGCCGAGAGGAAGAGCGATGCCGGGGAACGCCGGCGTGGCAGTGAACTCTTCGAATCGAAAGGAAGCCCCTCCATCGGGGAGGTGGAGCAGGTCCCCACCGCCCCCCCTAACCCCCCGACGGATGGGGAGGCCCCGGCCTCGGAGGAGCCCTTCCAATCCGCCTCCTCCATGGATACCGAGCGGGCGAATCCCAAGGGAGGGCGCTCCATCGTGAGTGAATCCGCTCGGTCGAGTAGCCTGGTGGGGGAAAAACGCCAACCCGCGTTGCCCGCGATCGGCACGCGGAATTCCCGGCGGGCGTCCGCGTCGGCGACGGCGACGCCCCCCCCTCCAAAGGGGGGCCCCGCCTCCTCGCTGCGCGCGTCGTCGGCCTTCCGCGAAGCGGCCGCCCCCCCCGCCGCGGGGGAAACGGCCCGACGTCCGAGCCCCCCCCCGACCGGATCGAACCCCCGTGGCGGGATCCCACGGCCGTCGTTCGTGGAGCTGCCACCGGGCACGAAAGGGCCGAGGCCCGATTCCGCCGAGGCGGCCCAACACGCCAGCCCGCCCGGCGTCTCCTACGCGGCGAACGCGGAATCCTTTCCTTCCCTCCCCAGCGATCCCGTCGTTCAGCTCGCGGACGATCTCATAGCGGAGTTTTCGGAGGCCAACACGGTGGTGGCGAAGACCGCGGAGTGCAATGCGGCGTTGCTTAAGGAGCTCCACGCATTGCGGGAGGAAACCGAGAGGGTGTTGAAGGAAAACGTCCGGCTTGAGAACGACAAATCGTTCTTTCTCGACCGTCTTAGCGAAACCAGAGGGGGCAAAGTAAGCAAAGCACCGCCACCGTGCTCGTTGCTCGCCAAGACATCGAACCTGAAAGATGGAAAAGACCCTGAGAAAGCGCAGGGGCAGGTCTCAGTTTCGGATCAGCCATGCATTCCCGCCCCGGCACTTGTGAAACCGATGGCATTGACGACGACACCCTCAGGATCTCTTGTCGCGCGAGGTGCCGAGGTAGACGCCCAAGGAAATAATGTTTTGAGCGCATTACTGAACCAACAACAGCTTCTGCAGAAAAAACTAGACGACACGCGCGGCCGCATCGCAGTGATGCAACAAAAGGTTCAGGAGAGAGATGCATTGCTTAACGCGGTCTTTAGCTACTGGCAGAAAAATGCTGCCGTTCTCAAACATGCACACAATGTCAACAGTGGTCGAAATTCACCTGCCCTGCAAGCGAATTCGTCTTCGCTCGCTAATATATCACAGGATCAGAAACAGCACGCTATGCCGGGTGAAAGCACACCGAGCATCGAATTTTATGGCTACTCTCTCCCACACGTACGGGAGAAGTTGCCGGATCTGCGAACGGTTTCCATGCCTGAAGAGACCCTCCCGGGCGGTGTGGCCTTGTCACCACGAGCCTTGCAGTTGAGCACGAGTAACTCCTATCACGGCACTTCAGTGCTCCTTTCGCCAGGAATCCGCTCCAGAACCAAGGAGAGATTCGATGATACTCCCCTGAGAAAAGGCAACTTTCAAACCGAACTAGAAGGTAAAAGTGGCGCTGAGGGATTGGGAAATTCAGGGGAGGAGGTCCTCATAGCCCCGGGCTCCGCTGTGCACAGCTGTAATCACATCAGCGTGGAAGAGGGTTTGTCTTTCCCTGATCTGGGGAAAACTACCTTGTGTTGCAGCAATGATTTTTCGACCATTTTAAAAAGAGCTGAAAGTAGATCAAGTATGGGAGATATGCTTCCTAATGACGACTCGATAGCTAAGGGTATTTTAGCATCACTACCAAAGTTTAATTTCCTGTCGCAATCGATGTCGTTTCCACACCATCTACGCGTGCAGATGGCGGGCGGGGGTCCGGAAAACGAACCCTGCAAGGCATCCAATACGCCGAACAACAGCTTCGAGACCCTTATCATGGCTCTGCCTAATAATGTGAATAGCTCGGCGGTCGAGGACAGCTTACGGCTTTTGCAGGACAAACCAATCGGCCGGGCGCCGTCGGTACAACAATCGAATCTCACGTGGAAAAATTCCGATAAGTCAAGCATTTCCTACACCTCTAAAGCAGATAGTGCCGTGGGATCGGATTTCACCCCGCTCTTAGTTTTCAAGCAAATCTCGGATCCATCAGACACGTTCATACTCCAACGTGGCGACGCAATCGCAGACTTTATTTGTAATCTTTTTAGGGGGAATTAACCCTACACTGTTAGGAGGGGGGGGGAAGGGTGTCTTTGTGGGTTTGCGATTTGGCCCACTGTATAGGTCTGTGTGCTATCCTGTCCCAACCCTCCCCTTTCCATCTAGTAGAAGGGTGTGCTTTCCGCTCAAGACTTAAAGAAACAACATGTAATGTACAGTGGCAACCACTACGCCATTGCCATAGATGAATGGTGCGATGTGAAGATATTTTTTGTGAACTATCCATGTTTTAAATGGCATGTTTTATATATTGCCGAGGTGGAAATGTACTACAACCCCACGATGGGTGGTGTGTCCGCAGAAAAAGAAAACGATCACATGGTGAAATGCATGCAAAAAATCATTCCGTATTTTTGAATTTTGTGCGGCCGCGTTGCTGGATTCTTCTTTCTCCCTCGCTTTCTGTCTCACAGTTCCTTGCGTGTGTAGGTGGGCCGGGGTGCCGCGCGCAGAAAGGCGCCAGGCCGGCGTGAAAAAAGCTTCGCAACAGCCCCTGAGGGCTCGAGGGCCGACATGCTCTGCGGTGTGATTCCGCAACGGCGGGCGTGCGCGAGGTGGGCTGCCCCGTCTCCGGTCTGGACCCGTTCCCCCAACTTCAACGGCGCCCCCAAAGCCCCTCTGCAGGGGCCCGAGTGCACCGACACACAGCCAAGCAGGGCACCACGTCAACGCAGCGGGACCCCCCTCACCGATTCAGGGTGCCATCGCTAAGCTTGTACAGCCCCCGAAGGTTACAGAGCAACAGCTCCGGCTACCCTCACCCTGTCTTTGCCCTCCGAGGGAGACGGAATGTAACATTTCGAGTTATAACTTATTATGAACGTTTAGCCCATCCCTGAAGGGCTGATAAGTCCGTGTGGCTCAATGGAAGAGCATCTGACTACGGATCAGAGGGTTGCAGGTTCGAATCCTGTCACGGATGACTTTTTGCGTTGCCCTTGGTACACCCCACGGAACCCTTTCCTCGGAGGGGGCATTCGCTAATTCTATTTCTACCAATGCCACTCAAGCCCCATCGCCATCCAACCTCGTGTGTTTTGTTTGCATGCAACTATTCAATTTTATACTAGTTACAATAGCCTACCCGTTAAATCCAGAACTCAGGAAAAGGAAAGAATAATGCTGTTTTCTTTGGTAATTGCTCATCAGAGCATTAAAATCCTTTTACAACGCAGAAGTTTCGAAATAACAACGATAGGAAACGTGGAAATCAACCCCATGGTGAGGAAGGGAATGTATTTTTCTTCTTTGTATATACAGACAATATCAAAACAGCAACAAAAAGCGTTACAATTTCATCCATAACGAGTTTCAAGAGTAATAAACGCATTCTCTCGTGAAAATCAAGAGACTCGCTCAGAAAGAAGGGGCTTCCCAGAAATTGACCTTTCCCCTCCCCTCCATCACAGCAAACGCGACACGTCTCTCAACAGAACAACCCACCGGCACCAGTCCCCCACGATTCGTCCCAGCACCTCGGTTTCCAGTGTTTCGATACCGGTGGCGGCTCAAACGGGGCGTGATCCTGTTGGATCGGGTCCCGACCCTCGCGAATATCGCCCAGATCCGTGAGCCCTAATTCCTTCCGAATGGCTAAACGTTCGTCCTCCAGTTGGTCGGACTCGACGCGCAGACGCTCCAGCTCTGGCGTGCTGAGATCCGGCACCGCGTCGTGGTAGGGGATATCCAAGTCGGTGCGGTGCCAATAGTGCTTCACCGGCTCCCCGTCCGGGGCGTTGGGGTCGGTCGTGCCCTCCGCAGGTTTGCCACGGGGGTGCTGACGCTTATTCGTGCGCACCTGCCGTTTATATTCCAGCGCCTGCCACTCCATATTCCGGAAGATGTGCCCGAGCTCGGTTCGCATCACCTGGGTCTCCTCCTCGTTATAAAAGAGGTCGCCACGAACGAACCCAAGCGTCCAGGTGGCGCCCTTCTGTGCCTTGGCTTTCATTTCCTCACCCGGTTTGCGCTCGGTCTCACGCAAAGGCCGTGTGGCCCGGTGGGCGTCGCCGTAATCCTGATTGTCGTCCAACTCCTGAAACATCGCCTGCGAGCGATTCATGTGGGCCATCAGGCGCATCATCGAATCCTCGACCTCCTCGTCGTCGAGCACCATCGGGCCGAAGAACTCTCGCTTGTAGTAACGTAGATGCTCTTCTTCGGCCACGCTGGGCGGATCCCCGCGGTGGCTGCGCATCCACCGCTCCCACAACCGATCGTCCGTCGCCAGCGCGCCGTAGGGTTGGTGCTTCTTGTTGCTATCTTTTCGATACATCCGGCGCTGCTCCTGGCGCCCTTTGATAAACTGCCACGTGACCGTAAACTTGTTGCCAAATCGATCCTTCGCAATGAGGAGTTCTTGTGTGAAAAAGTAGCGAATGTAATTCCAGTACAGATGCTCCCACCATTGAATAATGCGATTGTCGGCCAGGCCGGTGAAGGAGTGCTGTAGACGGACGCTTTTATTCCCAAACGCGTCCACCGAGCGGAGGTACTTACTGCGATCCGACGCAATTTTTTTCCGCATTTCTTCGGCCGCGGCCGGCCCGCCAAGCGCGGCAGCCTCAGCAATGAGTGCTTCTTCCCTCGCCTTCTCCTGTTCTTTTTCCTCCTCAAGCTTGAGCTGTCGCTTCGTCTTCTCGGCAAGCAGCTCCTTTTCCTTCGCGGCGAACGCGATAGCGTCTTCCTGACGACGGCGCATATAAACAAGCTTGCACGTGTTGTCGTCCGTTTCGTTCGACATGTCTTTGATGTCGGAGAGGATGCTTGCGTTGGTCAAGCGGTGCCGAGCTGCAAAAAGAAAAACGGACGCGCCCGCAACCCCACTCCCCGGTGGGCTTTGCAAAGAAGGAAGCGCTGAGGATATGGAGGACCGAAGGTGCCTTATGGGAGCAACGCCTGTCCTCCCCCGACTGGGAAGCAGAAGACCATGCGGCAATCCCACTCGCGGGTTAAAAACCATCCGCTCCCTTTCGCACAATTACTGTAGTGCTTCAAGCTTCGATAAGGTGCGTGTTTGATCCGCACAGCTACGGGATAACTAGCCTATTTACTATTGGACTGGAGAGGAGTTTGATAAGTTCTAGACAAGTAAGACCTTGCCAAAGAAACAAAAGAAAGGAGGGGAAGGCCGACGCGGATTAAAGTGTAAAATAAAATACAACGAGTTGAGTCATTTCACCCACGCCCTGGTAGTCAGGGCAAGGGTTGGGGCCCAAATTCGTCCCGCGTAACAGTGGTTTGCTATGAAGCATTGCAATCCTAAATAGGAAACGATGTTATAAAATCTAATAGGGATCTAATAACCGTAGGAAGGGCCCTTGGGAGGTGAATAGTAGGGATCCGAACATGAGAGATACCCCAGGTGTGGAAGAGAATATTTTTTTCTCTATCCACTGCACACCCATCCGCTTAGCAACAAATTTGCAGAGGGCATACATCTATAGATGCCAAGCAAAATATCTTGGAGCTCCCAAAATGATGATTCAAAGGAACGAAAGAGAGGTAAAAGGAAGAGGAGGAGGCAAAAAGAACACAAAAGGAAAAGAAAAGGCCTCTAAACCCATTCCCCCCGTGAGTTTCTCACTTTGGTGTTTGAAACGACTTCCGCCAGCAGCCTTAACGCCTGCTTCCTGGAGATCTCATCGGGCGGCATCTCTTGCCGCGAGGACGAGCGTGGCCGAACGGGTGGTGAGCGGAGGGCAGCCCGTCTGGAGGATGCGGGCAAACGCCTTTCCTTTTTGACGAGATTCCCCGCCCCTGGCAATGGGGGCTGCGCCGAATAACGGCCACGGTCGCGATCCTTCATTGGAATCTCCCAGTGCGAAGGAAAGACGTCCTCGACGGGAGGCCTCTGCATGACCTGTGAGGGGGATCGCCCCCAGGGTTTGGAAGGTGGAGAGGACGGTCTCCTCTCACGGCTTCTTTCCCGCGGCCGCGGAGGTTCTTTTGCGAGGGGTCGCTTTGAACCCAACGCGGATCCAAACGATCCCCCCCCTCCTCCTCCTCTTCCTTTTTCCCCTCCCCTTCGATCGCGCGCGGAGGACGTTGAGGCGGATCGCATGAGAGGGGGGGGCGCGCCGAGATCGGCGTAGCCTCGACTCCCCGTCTCCGCGACGACCTGCAGCAGTGCGCGGTACGACGCGGCGAGGTCTTTCGGAGGGTCCTCGCCCCTCCTCCTCCCCCCCCCTTTCTCGTTCCCTCTCGCTTTCCATTTCCCTCGCCCGCTCCCGCTCCTCCGCCTCCCACGCGGAGGAGCTCATTGAGATCTCGCGGGAATGGCGATCCATGCGGCGTCGTTCCGCGTAGGAGGGGCCCGCCGTTGGGGCGACGATCGCCTCGGCGTAGCGCAGCTCCTCGTCGAGGGCCGTCGCGTAGCGCCTCACCGCGTCTTCCCAGACC